ACAAATTGAAAAAAGTGAAGGGGGTCTGAATACTTTCCGAATGCACTGTACATTTAGTTACAGTGAGATAACCTACAACAAATCCCACTGGCATATGGTTAAGAAAGTCATCTATGTACTTTTGAATGTTTTGGGAAAATAACAAATCAATTCAGTAGACACATTATTTTTTAAAGGAAATCTATGTGTCTGTAGATACAGAGACAAGCCACACATATTTTATCAGTTTATTACAGTAAGCAAATAAGCGTGGAATGAGAGTGCACATAACTGTCTACTTAGTGCTTACTGAAACATTTATAAGAGCTGTTATCTCACTAATAACAGACAGACAGCATACAATTTTAGAAAGGAAAAAGCTTCATATTTTCAACACTTCACTAAAAAGCAACTGAAGAGTGTAAAATGAAAAATACTCTGTGCAGTTAGCTGGTAATGGACCATATTATCAACTCAAGTTAGATTTATATGATACAAACTAATCACTAATAGTTAGTTTATGATATGGCATGTCTGATTCTTGGGGGGTAGATTTAAGATTAAAATCATAAAATATTTAATGCCACTGCTTAAGCTGACTGAAATATAGATTAAAAAGAAAAAAGAACGTGAACAATTGAAGCTTCTATTCTCTGAGATAGACTTGCAAAAGTATGCAATCCAGCAGTCAGGTGAGGGCCAATTAATGCACTGCAATGAGAAAAGTAATCTTGCAGATTAGTTTTGGAGCTACAATGTGTTATAGCTTTCTTTGGCTAGCTACATATAAAAACATTCCAAAACTTTTCCCGATCTTAGGAATTTACAAAACCATTCCAGATAATTTATCTTTAAAATGAAATTCAGAAAACAGTTCTAAGTTTCAGAGTCAAAGAGGCCTAGAGTTTGTACTAGGTCATAACATTACAAGTACAGACAGCCGAGATTGATACTGCTAGCTCAATACTTCATAAGTATCTTTCTGCACAAGAGTTAAGGATTCCAAAAGTAAAACATCTGGAGCAAAAAAGGACCACATTGTACAACTTGGAATCCACCGCACCATGTGCTCCATCTACCATCTATGGCAAACCACTACGCACCAGTTAAATTATCTCTTGCTATCTCTCTGGGACTGCAAAAACATAATGCTGGCAAGCATACACACGCCATCCGCTCCATTTGGCTTGGCAGATCAGAAGTTGAGAGAGATTTATTTCCCTATATAGATTGCCATGTATAAAGCACTGAACTGATGTAAAATTGAAGCTTAAAAGAATTACATTTCTCCGCAGATCACAAGGTATTCATTATTATTTATGCACTCAGAGACTTAATTCAATTTCTCCCAGTACTTTGAACATTTAAATGCATTTTTTTAAAATTTAAAAAAGCACTCATTATGTGAATAAATATAATTGCTACTTCAGAGCTCCCTCTTCCAAATGAAAATTGTACTGCAGTAATTACAAGTCTGTTCTGTTGAGTCATGCCCAGAAAGTTTTGCCTTAAGTATATCTTGTAACTTTTCATAGGGTTTTATCATGCCCCTATTGAATATATGAAACTGCAAGGGAGAGTTAAGTGACTTTCTGCAATGAAGCACAATCAATATATTGATGACATTAAGCTATTGCCA